TTTTCATTTATCTATGCTGCAAGCATCTGTTTGTACAGGTTGGAAATCTCATAATGTGAGGTCAATTCTAGATTTGAGGTAAAAGTATATTTTAGGGTACCCCTCGGCGAAACTTAGCAGTTTTTGGCGGTACATGGATACCGAGTTTGTGCAACGGTGATTTTTGCACCAAAAATCGCCGCTACACAAAGCCAAAATAACAAGACAAAGAATTGCACAAACTCGGTATCCATGTACACATCGACTTATTTTCACTTAAAAAAAAATCCCGAATTGCTCAAAAATGGCATTGCGCACTCTCTTGACTTTATCCATGTGCACAGGTCAAACCTATTTTCACTTTAAAAAAATCTAAGAATTGCGCAAACTTGCATTGTGCACTCCCTTCGCTTTGTCCATGTACACATGATTAAATCACATTAAAAGTGAAAGGAGCACCCAATTTTACAATACAGTCAAACAAAAAAACACAATCTCAATAAAATAACATGAAAAAGGAAAAACATGTTATACATTTAAGCACTATAAAAAGCAAATATCTGCTTACCCTATGTAAAAGTTCCTTCATCTTTAGTCTGTGGCATACAAAGTTCCTTAACGACATCCAAAAACTTCTTAAAATTATCTGAACTCGAATTCGTACATCGGCATCGCTTCATCTGAACTTTTCTTCCCTCAAACCCTTTCAAATCCATCTAAATGGTTTTTACGTTTGACTAGATGTGTGTCCTTCCTACATACAAGGACACTTATAATGGCTACTAAGTAAACCTTCATTACACACCAATCAATTAATGCTCCTTTTCCCTTTCATTCCAGATCATACAGAAACTTCAAATGAATCTTACTACATTCAGCCATTCTACTGTCTAAACAATAAAACCAACGCACACTCACAAAAGTGCTTACAAAACATCCCACGATTCAAAATTTCCCAGAATCGTGCACCAGGTTATGTCACAATAGGGTTTCCATAACATTCAACTACTCAAGCTACCATAAATGAAACAACAACTTCGCCATAATACAAGGGGTACCTTAAAATTTATTTTAATCCTAGATTTTTCTTGCAGGGTAACAGAATTTAGGTACAGCAAAAGTCTTAAGAGTTTAGAGAGACAAATCCAAATAGCATAAAACCTACTAGTGACCGTTTGGGAGAAACGTATTCTGATTTGAAGAAATTAATTATTAACCATTCATTAGTTTCCACAAGACTCAATGTTTTTACATGATAATTAGTGTTCAGTGTTTACATCCGCTGCGTAACGAAGTGTGTCATGTAGATTAGAAGTGACATTCTAAAAGGTGGCTAAATGTTTCATCAGAGATGTATACTGTAAATTCTATGTTTCTTTTTTTATTGGCTGTTTGTGAATTTAATGCAGATATAACTTTCAGCTCTGTCAGTGCAGACACAAATTTCATTCATGTGCTTGTCATGAATAATGTATTGGGTATTTCCATCCCCAGTTGAAGATCATGCCTATCTGGCTCCAGTATGAAATGTGTCAGTATACAACTTTCACGAAACCAGTGCAGGATTCTACCACAATTTTAGAAAGGCAAAATGAAATCTCAAATATTTTCTGTTAAATCTTGGACATACAAAATACAGCAGTCGTGGGAAACATTATTTCTGTGCAGGTAAGAAATCATTATATACTAGATGGTTATTTTTAAAACTATTTTATATTTTTTCATTTAATGGGGAAAGAAAACTAAAATAATTAATTTTTATTTTCTGCTGTCATATTTTAAGATGAATTTATGTTCTCAATTTGGGAACTTTGCAATGTTTTGGTTCTGAAAACTAAACAAGTTAATAAATACTATAATCAGCACTTCTTTAGTAAATGCTTTGGAAATTATGGAAGTTTCAGTAACAGTAAGCAAAAGCAAAAAAGCTGCTGTAATTATTTTAAAATTAGTTTCTAGTTTCATTACTCTTTTTAATATTTTTTCATGATACTTGTATCTCGTTTAATTGTTTCTGAGTATTTAAATAAGTTTTCTATGTAAAATTTAGTTTACATTTTCTGATTGCTTTTCTTTTTTTTTTCCAAAATTCAAAAATCTTGGTGTCTTTTTACTCACCTGAAGTTTGTAGGTATATTTTTTCTTTTGAATTTTAGAACTCACATCCTCAGTTTATGAAGGGGTTATTTATAGGCAAAGGATTCCTAAAAATGTGAAAAAATGATTAAGTCTTCATGGTATTAGGAAAGTCAGTCAAAAGATTTGAAAGCTTTATATTGCACTACCCAACCTCAGTGTACAACTGCTTGGCTGCTGGTGGACTTGCATTAAAAAGAAAAATATCACTACATGAAAATGTGTACCAGTTTTCTTTTCACAGATATATCTATCAAACCTATACTTCCAGTGAAAGAAAGATATTTTTGTCAGCTTTCCAAAATGTAAAAAATATATCTTGGAGTTTAATTGCTTCCATGCAGAAAAGATGAAGTGCTATGGGATATCATTACAAATTCTTGTTAGTGGTATTTACTTAGGAAAAAAAAAAATTCTTTCTTGTAAGAACAGTAAATTTAATTTTACCACTAGACAATAGCTGACATTTTCACATGCATGTTTCAGTAAAAAACTGTAGCACCTTTGTTGTTCTACAGTAGAAAGCATAAAGGGGAAAAAAAATGTTGGAGCCGTGGCTACCGTCCTGCCACAACCATTTACTTAGTTAGTTGGCAACACAACAGGGGCTATGTGTTTTCATGTGTGAAGTAACTCCCCTTCATGGCTTTGATCGTTTTATCTGTATTCCTTTTTTATCTCATCATAACAAGGGGCAAAAGAAAATGTGTATTTAATGTTAACCTCCAACAGGAATACAAATTTTTGAAATTATGTAATGACAGTAACAATGAACATGTTTATTCCACACTATGTACTGGGGAATTTTCTGTTGCACATAAAGGAAAGGGTTATGTTGACGACCATGTGAAAACAGCTAAACCTAGGGGGAGTGCTATTAATGCTAGTACTTCAGCAAACATAAACGATTTTGGTACTTATGTACTATTATGACTACCTTGGCAACATTTCCCGATAAAATCATCATCAGGTGTTTTTTGGTTTATGTTTATAAATTCTTTTATAAATAAAAGCACTAATTATAAAGGAACAAAAGCTTTAAAACCAAAAACCCCAAATATATATATGTACATATTATATATAAATATGTATATATATATATATATGAACGATATACTAAATACGATTTAAAAAATTAAATTTACTTAAAACTGGTTAAAAGAAAATGTTGAAGTTAATGGTGAGGAAAGTGGTGGGAAATAGCCTTTCAAAATAGTATGGAAAGGCGTTTCCTGTTTTTTCTAGCAAATAATTTTGGCGAATTAAGTACCTTAATTTCCGGAAGAAACGCAGCGGCGTTTACATGTTTAAAATTTAAATTTTCAGCGGGTGCGGCGTTTCTATCCATGTGGCGTTTAGGTGCACTAAAAAAAAAAAATATTTCCTATGATGGTCGTTGTACATAGTTTGAATAACTTTGTCATTGTACATAGTTTGAATAACTTTGTCACTGCACATAGTCTGGATGGGGTCTGTGACACTTAGCCGACGGGATACTTAACAGACACCAGTTAGCCGACAGGACATTTAGCCAACACGGACACTTAGCCGACAGGTCATTTAGCTGACAAGGACACTTAGCCCACAGGAACTTAGCTAACAAGGAAACTTAGCCGACACGGGCAGTTAGCCGACATGACATTACGCCGACAATGAATCTCGCTCTTCCCAATGGTTTTAGATTTCTAATACTTTCACATTTCATTACTACTTTGCTCAACACACACACATTCACATTACATTCATTTCCGTATAAAGTCGTTTCGTTTCTCTCACTAATGAAATTTTCTTTCCCTCTCAGGAAGTAGAGTAATTCACCCTACTCCTAGCAACACTGGAACTACTTTTTTTTTAATCTACTTAGTGGCATTTTAACTGGCACGTACCCAATAGTTATTTAAACTTATCAATTAAAAAATTTCTCGACTTCTCATGTATTTAATATTTAAGTTATTTTTTGCCTATCAGTAAAATTCATTTTTCGATTCGGCCCACCAGCGGCCGAGCGGTAAAGTCGCTGAACACTGGTAGTTCGGTCCGAGGTTCGAATCCCACGAATGGGCTGGCTGCATGGGCGTTTTCGTGGTTTTCCCCATGTGTAATGTGTATACGAGCCAGTTTCCCTTAGAAAGTCCTCCACGAAGGCATCCCTCCCTTAGGCAATAGCCCTTGAGGCTTTGCCATAATCACACACACACACACACACATTATTCGATTCTGAAAGATCTTGTGTGCTTTTAATTATTGTGTTAATTTAGCATTGTTTGATATATATCGTGCTGTTTGGTGTATATTGGCCAAACTGAAAAAGCTCTGAAATTTCTCGTCAGGGAATATGAATTAAATTTCGAAAGGAAAAAAGAATGTTTTTAGCTAAGTACGGCAGTCACTTAATTGCATTTGAGATCTTTAAAAATTATCCGTAAAGCTTCTTCATTTAATCAACTGGGTTCTTTTGAACACTTTCACATAATTAATATTCCAATATCGCTCTTCCAAATTTCTAATACTCTTACGTTTCATTACTATTTTACTCAATACATCATGTTACATTTTTTACTTACAAAATCATTTCGCTTCTTCTACAAATGAAATTTCCTTTCCTTGTCATGGAAAATCTAAATAATGCATTAAAAAGTATTGTTATTCTTGAATTATACTTTTTATAGAAACATATGGTGGTGAAGGGTTAGTTTAGCAAATATATATTATTTTGTCATTGAAAAGAATTTAAAAATTTGAATTTTTAAACAAGCAAAGATATAAATTATTTGTGACCTCTATAATGAGCTGGCCATGCCACTATTCCTGAGGTATAAATTCTATAACATTTTATTGACCACGCCTCTTTCTTAAAATACTTGCTTAGGTAAATATTCATAGCAGTGAACTGGTGCATTATGTTTAATTTAGAAGTAAAATATTCTTTATGGTTTTATTTCATTCATAACTGAATACTTTTCTCAAAAGACACATTTTTCACTCTTCATATAACGAAAACATTGCTGATATGAAATTCCGGATGTTGGAAAATCTCCGAAGAGAAATCGGAGGAATCTGAGGAGGAACACCAAGCAGGGCGGAGAGAAAAACGAGACATCCTGAAAAGCCACCATAAGGTGGTGCCATCTCTCGATGCTGGATTTAACTACATTAGTCATGTAACTAGATAATATTATGTACTCTGTTTTGAAAGTCTCAATGTGTAATTTTCAATATAATAGTGTTACGGATTTGGTATTTAAATAGCTAATTTTAGTTGAATTATACATTAAATTGTTTTATTCCCCATGTAGTGTAGCGCGTGATGAATATTAAAGGAAAGCTAAGCCGGAAAATTAAAAATACAAAAGCACGTGCATTTAACATTTAATAAATAACTATCTCTTTTTTGATTTCGAGAAAGTTCCAGAAAATTCTCGCGCGCGATTTAAAATCTTATAAAAGGAGGAAAACCTCTTAGTAGTTGATTTTAGTTACTTTGTTTTTGTTTTAAGAGTTTATTTAGAAAACTGCTCTTGTTGACTAGCGAATTCGCGGATTAGCGTTCTCTAGCTGTTTTGAATTAAGTTCTCTTGAACGTTTCTCTAGCTGTTTTGAAGTTCTCTTGAGTAGTTAAAAGATAACTACTGTGAGATATTGTAATACTGATCGAATATCTGAGGAAAATTAAGCATTTTTGATGTGATAATAATAAATTTTGTTCATTTTTCATCAGACTTGTGCATTCAATTCAAACGAACCCATACGCATGCAACAATATGTTATATTGTTTTATGTTTTTCTCATAAAATGTAACTTTCTCAGTATCTGTTAAAAATGTATATAAATTTTCATTTCACTTTTCTCTCTTTCATTCTTTCTCTTTCTCGTTTTTGTTTTAACAACGTGGTAATAGGGAAATTTTTGGTGCCCATTTTCCTGAATGCAATTATAAAGTTCTAGCCTTAGAAAGGCAATTTTTATTGGAAGAGAGTGGTTATATATTAAGTAAAACGGTCACTCTATTTCTGTTAGGTGCAGCAGCAGCCGAGTGGTAAAGTCTCTGAACACTGGCAGATCGGTCCGAATATCGAATTCCGCGAACGGAGAGGCTGCATGGGTGTTTTCGTGGTTTTCCCCATATGTAACATGTATACGAGCCAATTTTCCTTAGAAAGTCCTCCATGAAATTATCCCTCCTGTTACACAAGTAGCCCTCTGCCTTTGCCATAATTACATAAACCAAACCTACTTTTGGCTGCAGGCCACGAGTTACGAATTCCCGTGCCGGAGTACAATCCCAGATTAATAAATATGTAATGCCTAACCTGTAATTGTATAAGCTCTAAATAGCATTTTAGATTTAAAAAAAAAAGTAGTTCCAGTGTTGCTAGGAGTAGGGCGAATCACTCTACTTCCTGACAGGGAAAGAAAATTTCATTAGTGGGAGGAGCAAAACGACTTTATACGGGAATGAATGTAATATGATGTGTTGAGCAAAGTAGTAATGAAATGTGAAAGTATTAGAAATCTAAAACCATTGGGAAGAG